CTACTACTTCACTTCCTATTTCTAATCTAGGGGTCGGTGACGTCCAATCCTGCAGCATCATCTTACATTTTACAGGGGCGAATCGCATGCCAAACACACGAAGATTGTTGCTCAAGGTGTTCAGAAGACTCTGCATTTTGTCAGCGTCCTCGCCTAGAAGGACTATGTCGTCCGCATATTCTAAGTCAACGAGATTATTCCCTGGTAGTAAGTCAATCCCTGAGTCTCTGAAGTGAGTTGGGGTTAAGTCCATTAGAACATCTATGATGAAGTTGAATAGGAATGGGGATAATGGGCATCCTTGACGGACGCCACTAGTCGTCACCACTTTAGATGACAACTAGCCGTAAGCCCTCACCTGGCTGCATGAGTACGAGTAGAGTGCCTTAATCAGTGCAATGTATTTTCTCGGCATTCCCTTTACAGCCAAGCATCGCCAGAGAACCTCTCGGTCGACAGAATCCAATGCCGCCCTTGGGTGAAGAAATATAATAACTGTCGGACGCCGGTAGGAATGCCTATGTTCTAGAATCTGTCGAAGGGTGAAGATATGATCAATACACCCTCTACCTGGCCTAAAACCTGCCTGGTTTTCTCGTGTTTGTGTCTTCCGAGCCCCACTTAGTCTACGCAATATTATTGAGCCTACGACTTTAGATACCATATTAGTCAAGCTAATCCCCCTGTGATTATCACAGGAAGACTTGTCTCCCTTCTTGTATATCGGGATGATCAGTGACTTACACCAACCCAATGGGACTTCCTCTGATTCCCAAACGCCACACAGAACCTCAGTTAATGCGGACAGTAAACTGTCTCCACCGTACTTAAATACCTCTGGAGTTATTCCATCAGGTCTCGCTACGTTGCCTTGCTTCAGATTAGTGACAGCTTTAGTAATCTCAGTTAAGGAAGGAGAACCTGTGTCTATATCCCATTCAGGGAGGTGTTGGATGTTTGGCAGGTTAAGTGTGGCTGTAGGCCAATTAAACTGTTCCTCACATTGCTCTTTCCAGCGCTCCAGTCGTCTATCCTGGGAGCTAGTTATGGTGCCATTTTTCTCAGAGATTGTTTCACTAATCATTTGCCTTTTGCCACCTGTTTCCCTGATAAGCCTGAATAGTTGTCTGGTGTGGCGACTTGAACTGTCGTACATATGTGCAAAGTTCTATGTCGAAAACAGACAGACAGAGCGTCTTCAGCGCATACTTCAATTTGAAGTGCAAATAAACATAGTGCTTACTAGTGACTAACTACAAGTTAAGGTTGTCTGACCAGTTGGAAGTCAAGACAAATACTCGTCGATGTGATTGGCTGGATTTCATGCTTTATATATTGTGAATTGGCAGAAGTTTGAATTGGTGGACATGAAATCCTATCTAAGTAGCTTGGTGGTGTAGGGATCATCTTGTAATCAGGTCTTGAGTTCGACCTCTAGTGAGAAGAGTCAAGGGTATTTACTGCTGAATAGTCCCAAACAAGGAAGAGGTGGTTTTCCAATACCCTTTGGTTTTCAACGGTTTTTTTAAGTGAAGACAGTTATTGACCAATGTTGAAATTCTAATACTGTTCCATTATATGCTTATATTCTTCATTAATTTTCACTGGGCTTGTTAACTGTTCATCGGTAGTTCACCGGCAGACCACTCGTCAACAATAGACGTAATCCGGGGTCCAATTGATGACCGACGCAAGCCTTAACCTCACCTAGCGGGTGGTAAGGCTAGTAGAGAAGAGAAGTTAGGAGAAAGGCTAACAACCCCACCGATGTAGGAATTTGTCGATACTAATGATAATGGGCGAAAACATACTTACTTCTCGATGAATCATGTTAGATGTTTGCACAATTATTGCATTTTTACAAGATGAGTTCTATCTTAAAAGGTATTACTCTGCAAGACTGGAGGCAATTCTCTATTTACAGTCTCCTCAGTGAGTGAAAGCAATAGAAACAGAGCTCAGAGTAAAAAGAATAATAGCAAAAGCGATAACTATAGTCTTGATATCACGTTTCACCGTGGCAAAGAAGTCTCAGCATAGTTACTCTTCGTACAGGAACTTCACTGCATCCCTGGATCAGTAGTAGAATGCTTCCCAACCATGCTGAACGTCCGCCTTTGATTCCTGGCCAGCAGTGATCTGGGGGTGAGATGAGGAGTAGGGCTAGCAATTCCACTCCGTACAAAAGGTAACACCAGTGTTACTAAAATGTAGGCACCACAGTATACAAATATCTAAATTGGGCTTTTCCTTTGAACTTTCATTCCATGAAGTAATACTAATCGATCAATGTAGACATATTTCAAGAACATAATACTCATCGAAGACAGTTTTTTCAAGGAACTTGAAATCAAACTTTACATTCGCATATTCAAGTAAGACCTGGTTTCATAGTATGGGTGTCAAAATTGGTAATCATATTTTGTGGTATTAGATGGCTGGAGGCAATTGACAGGAAGCCTTCGACACCACCTAGGTTTCGTGCTAGTTGGAACTCACCAGTCAGAAAGGCGTATCTGCAACCTTGAAGGAACCCATGTCCCCCTTCTGAGATTCGAACTCGCATCACCCAGTGAGTACTGCAGTCAGACGCGTTACCACTGAGGTATTCGGGCTCGTCACTGACCTACTGTAGGACTGTAGTGGGTATTTTCATTGGATACTAGTAACTAGTGTGACGTGTCCAGTCCTTTCTTTGGTGCAGATTGAATTCTCAGAAGGGACATGAGTTCCTTCATTGTGGTTGCAGATACGCCTTGCTGACTGGTGAGTGCCAACCAGCACGAAACCTAGGTGATGTCGAAGGCTTCCTGCCCACTGATTGCCTCCAACCGTCTAATATCATCAGATCAATGTGCACCGTGATGGCGAGCTACATACAATGGTGGCCGCTTTGCAAACCTGACTGATAGAATTCAGTCTGCACCAAACAAAGGACTAGACATATCACACTAGTTACCAGTGTCAAATCAAAATCATATTTTGTCTCAACTATGATGGAGTACTACAGTAAATACCTCCGAAAGTGTACACCCTCACAAGATTACTGACTAATCATCCGATCAAGAAACATTTTTATCAGAAAACAGAAATACTCATATTTATAATAACGCCATTTAAGAAAAAATACTAACTTTCTTACCATAACTTTTTCAATGTATTTATGTTGAACAATCCTGACATTTTCACATGGACATTTATTGAAATGAAATGTTTCATTCACATAAAGTACAACTTTTGATAAATACTTATTATCACCACTAAAGAATTTAATTGTTTGAATCCAAGATCCATTTCTAGTTGGTTTGTTTTGATTAAAGGTTATTACTAATGGAGCGTTTTTTGAATTTTCAATGTGTTCAATGTTGGATGTTAGATTCAAATTAACTGTAACTCTATAATAACTGGCAAATTTTAGAAAAAACTGCAAAAAGATGAAACAAATAAAGGTAAAAACAATTAGTGAAACAATCCTCGTGTTATACAGATTTCTGATTAGACTTTGATGAATTAAATTTTAATTATTCAATCAGAATGTTACAAAGACCTACTCTGTGAAGTTAAACAGATACATTCGATATTTGAATAGTTCAAATTCATTGGATTTGCTTTGAAACACAAGTTAAACACACCATCATTCTTCTGTACTCAAATTTTCCTTAAGAAGGCGAAACAGTTTGAGAAAAGAATATTCTTTCTTATCATGTCCTTATCAAGTTCTACATCATTCTGCATGGTTAAGCAAGAGACAAGTTAGGTCTACTCGTAGTTCTGCTTTCTCATACCTCGTAGATACTAGATATAACGTTGATGTTAACGGGACATGTAAAGTTATCTATAGTATCCAAAATAACCTTAATTTTGCATTACGAGTTCTCTAACATACAACTGAGGCCATCATAATCCTCCAGAACGTGATGAACCAAAAGATTTCGAATAAATTCATACAGACTGGCTGGTTTCAATGTAGAAATCTGCCCAGATGTGCATCAGTTCGCTGGTTTTATTGACGTCGCGCTACTTAATGCTGCTGCTAATAGCTTTATCAAAGTAGTAATATTAAACCATAATTTACAAAATCCACTCAGCTTATATATAACAGCTTAATCATCGTTCATCAGCAGTTCATCAACAAAATCAATAGGGACATTAGGGTATAGTCAGATACGTATTCCGAAAGCATGGATCTCAACAGTTGTCATTCCATATAGACCATCAGATTCGTCAGACGATATCAGAAGAGCACCTAACAAGCACAACATCAGAGGTTTCTTCAAAACATCAGACTCACACGCTACACAGCAACCTTGTACATGTAAAAGACCATATCCCTAAGGATTCTCGATCTAATGGTGTCTACAAAATAAAATGCTTGGGATGTGATGCAATATACATCGGACAAATATCGCAAGAGAGAAATCGAAACCAGAAGAAATGAACACCGTAGAGCATCTGTTCTACCACCAAGAAATCCAGTTAGTGAACTAGAAAAGCTTGAAAAATCATCAGCCATAGGTCGTCTACACGCTATACAATAGAATCAGGTTACAAAATTGATTTTGAAAATATTGAAATAATCCAGAAAAATTTCAGAAATCACAAAGAACGTATAATAGCATCATCCGTTCCTCCTGTATTTGAGACAACGCTCCCTAGATAAGTGAATGAAGTAACCTCTTTCAAATCCCTCCCGTTGATGGTGATTGGCGCTGCATGTTGCTGCTGTTGGTGTTGGGTGGTTATTTGCATAACCTCCGTCTTGTCTATGTTCACCTGGAGTCCTGTCTTCTCTGGCTGCTTCTTCGACCAATTTGTCGGTTTTCGCTTGTAAGTTTTCGATTTTGAGTGACATCAAGCATAAGTCATCCGCAAAATCAAGGTCTTCTTCACGTCGGTCCAGAATATCCCTGTCTTCTCGTTTCCCACTGTCTGAAGCATAATCCAGTCCACCACAGTTAGGCGTCGGTGGCACAGTGGTTAGGACTCTCGTCGACCATGCACATGGTCCGGGGTTCGATGCCCTGCCGACGCACACCCGATATCTATGGTCGGTCTGTAAAGTTTGGGCTACCAATATCCATGCTGAAAGTTCCATACCTGTACCAAAAATACGGTGTGGAATCAAGCTGTAATCAAAATAAAAAAAAATAAAGAATATCGTTGGTGATAATAAGCACCCTTGTCTGACTCCTGTGTTTACTCCAAACGCCCCGCTGAGTTTTCCGTTGTGGATCACTTGACACGTGGCAGGCATTGTCGTACAGCTGTTGAATAAGGTTGATGAATATTTGGTGTACGCCGTAGTACTTGAGTAGTTCCCAAATTACTTCGCGGTCAACGCTGTCGAAGGCTTTCTCAAAATGTCTATAAAGTTGAGGTAGAGGTTTGATTGCCATTCCATGCTTTGTTCGATGATGATGCGTAGAGTTGCAATTTGGTCATTGAATCATTTTCTCTTTCACCATTCTCCTCTCCTCTATTAGCTTCCAAGTGTCCATTGAGAGCCGTTCTTTTATAATAATGAGTATCAAATATCCAATGCCCAAATTTTTTCACCCTGTTCAAAGTGAACTTAGTTTGTACATATATAATTCATGGGCGAGTCATGAAACTGTAACCCCATAACCGAATATTTCTGGAACTGACCTTCCACAGAGACAGCGGTGCATAGTGATGAAGAGATTCAGACTAGCAAGCAAAAACAGCTGCTCATTGTTCCTTAGTCTCCAAGATTTCTCGAAATGACATCAGTGTTTGATGATGTCTAGATTGAAATTAATCGAAATACTGGAAAACCCAAAAAATCTAAATTCAAGTATTGGTTTGTAGGGATTTGGTTGATTGGTTACAGGATTTCATCATGAGCTGACATTGGTTAGAGAACCATTGGAAAACCACCTAGGAGTACTGGACAAACGTTTCGTCCTAGTTTGGGACTCTTCATCAGTACGCACCCGCCGGGGTTTGAACCCAGGGCCTTCTGGTTACTAGGCGAGCTCGCATACCATTAAGCCACTGAGACCCGATCCAATGGCCCATGAATTCTGACCTCTGACAATTCACGATACTCCCAGGTTTTCCAATGGTTCTCTAACTAATGTCAGCTCATGATGAAAATCCTGTAACCAATCAACCAAATCCTTACAAACCAATACTTGAATATCAATGAGATGCTCACTGGCGACTGGTCCTGTTCAGGTAGGTAGTTACCTTGGGTTCCAGTGGGAAGTAGTGATCAGTAGGGTGCAGCAGGTCGGGTGTGAGGACAAATACTCGCCGAAGACATTGGCTAGCGGTTGCGCTATATCGTGAATTTGTAAAGATTTACTTAAGAAATAAATAAAATGCTTCTTTTTTCATAATTAACAACTCAAACTGACTTTACAGGTATACCATTGACATTCCAGTTGTAGCATACAAGCATATCCATGAACACTTTTCATTTTCAAAGAGAATTTCTGCTCAGTATTTTTCGTAAAATAATTGGCTTGTTTTATTGTTATCATTCCATTATGGCGGAGAATATCGCATAAATTGAAATTATTGTTAACTGATTTTACACCTGAATTTAGAGGAACGGGAATAAAGAAGTTTAATAATCTTAATCGTTATATTCTCACAACTTCATCGATCAACTTCCCCTGTTTAATGAATACTACGCTTAAACTTAATTTTGCTGATCATATATTTTACTGCCTTATATGTTAGACAGAAGTCAAAAACTTCTATGGCTATGCTCTTCATATCTTCTACTTTTAACGGTCATATCTTACGGACGTAAAGGAGGACAGGATGAACTGCTGTGAGGTACATACGTCTTTTAATCCACAGAGGGATATCATGACTGAACCAGAGATGACTCAGTTAGGGAAACACCAATCGAACTTTTTCTTATCCATGCCGAGATTGTTGTTATACTGACGAGTTGTTAGGCCTGATGAGAATTCCTATATAAGCGACACATTCAGCCATTCCAATTCCTATGCTTAAGCAAGAAGTTAATTTAGACCAATCCTGCGTCATGAATGTATAGATACTTATCATTCTTTAGATGTCAGCTACATTTATATATTATTATTGTTCCCTTGCGTTCCACGTGGAACATAGGGTTTCAACGACATATCTTAACTTTTTTTGTTGTCCGCTTAAGCTGGCTAGCTCCCTGACTGAAGATAATCTCTCATCTCCTCCTCCAACTCACACAGTCTCCTCCATGGCACCCTCGCACCGACAACCAACTTGTCACTCCCCATTCGGATTTCACTCGAGCAATGGACTGCACTGCGCTAAATGACATTCGACGACCTCCTCAACGTATTCTCGATCAATCCATCTCCATTTTCTCCTAATTATTTAATGAGCAATAGGCTCTCACCTGTTGGTTTGTCCCACTGCAGAGTTTCTTGCTAATTCTTTCTGGCTGACCATCTGATCTTTAGTATGCAGCCAATCGGCGAAGGAGGCAGCTGTTGATAATAGTCTATAACTCGTTGGAAATCCTTTTGGTGACGGGCGTGCAGTGCAAGTTCCTGACCCATATAGATGAACTGACTGACTTCGCATTTGTGTGGAAAATCCGAATCTTGTTCTTTATGCTAGCTGAGTCAATGCAGAAGATTTCCATATTGGTTTCAAGTTGATGAAGGCGTATCCTGCCTTTCCGATTCTGGCTGGCTGGCTTTGACATCTTCAATCGTTCCGCCAGCTTTGGCTGAAACCATTCTTCCTAGACAGATAAGTGAAGGAAGGAGGTAACCTCTGTCAAGTCTCTCCCGTTGATAGTGGTTGGTTTTGGTTGTAGTGGTGGCTGGTTATCTTCAACGCCTGCGTCTTCTCTGTGTTCACCTGTAGTCCTGTTTTCACTGCCTCTTCAGCCAGTTTGTTGGTTTTTGTCTGCCTCTAAGTCTTCGAGTTTGTGTGACATTAAATAGAAATCATCCGCGAAGTCCGGATCTTCTAAAGTCTTCTTATTAGTCAGTCCAGCGTATTCTTGTCTTCTCACTCTCATGCACAGTTTGGTGCATAATCCAGTCCACCACAATTAAGCATATAGTCAGTGATGATAGGCAGCTGGTCTTGTATTACTCCTGAATGCGCTTCGAAAGCTGACTGGCTTCTCTAAGCCTTTCACCAGTCCTCTGTGTCATTTGGTCTCCGATTTCTGGGGAGAATAAGTTTGTTAGTTAAATTTTTTTGTATTGTTAATAATTTTCTTGTGCGTTGAAATTTCTGTAGCAATCTGATTGGTTTTTCGATGTAGGGTCGCTAGCCTGACGCCCCACTCGCCCTCTTTACCCGGGCCTGGTACTGGCTGGAAAACTAGAAAGCTAGTAAACTAAGCGAGGTTAGATGTCAGCGACAGGCTAATTAAAATAAATTTAAAACAATTTGTCCCTTTTATAAATTTGGTTAGCGTTATAAGAAACTGGAGATTATCTGAAAAGCAATGTGGGATGTATTTGCGCTATACATTTCGAACAATCTGATCCCTAACACATTTACTTGTCAAGTCAGTATATATGGGAAAGTTAAATTAAACAAAGTGACAAAATGAGAATGATTAAAATCCGAATAAATCTGCCGAAGAAGCTGTGGCTTAAACAGCGAAACGTTCAGAAAAGTCTTGTTTTGATTTTCTTAACACGCTGGGATTAATTTAAATAATTTATAGTGATTAACACAACGTTTGGTAATCCAATCAAATAAGGATTACCAAGGTAGGTTAAGAGTAATAACAAACTGTTTTTAAATACACAAGGGGGGCTTAAGTTTATGAATAGCTATAGCCTCGGCGTATTTCATATAACGGGGAAATAAACGGTAGGATTTTGAGACAAAGGTTGAATTCGATCATCCGTAGAACCTACTATGCAGCCCAGCTAGTAATTGTCGAAAAAGCTAAAAATATGCTTCACCTCAAGCCTCAAAAGTGCACAAGTGATTATATCACATCCCACACTATTTACCAATTTTCGTGTGTGTGTGTGGTCACACATACATAGGGAGGAGTAATCGCGCTTTGCATGTGAGGGTGGGAGATCATATCCCAAAATGGCTAGAAAAACAAATGAACTGTGAAAAACCAAATAAAGTATAATTATATTTCAATAGTTTACACACAATGATAAGTTTTGTTGTTGATAATATTTCGAGCAAATTTACTGCCCGTGTTCACACCACTGTTGGAATTGTGAAAAACCAATAGATGCAGGTGTCAGACTACCAACTTCGTCTATAATTAAACACCTAATAGAGATGAACCATAAGATTGATGTCAACTCAGCCTTTAAGGTCATCTATAAAAACGGTCAAGGGCGCTTATTGAAATACGCCGGAGCTATAACTATTCATAAACTTAAGGCACCCCCCTGTCTATTCAAAAACAATTTATTATTACTCTTAACCTACCTTGGTAATCCATATTTGATTGGATTACCAAACGTGGTGTTAATCATTCTTAAATCCTTATTTTGTCACCTTGTTTAATTTAACATTTTCATATATATATCGACTTGACAAGTAAATGTGTTAGGGATCAGATTGTTCGAAATGTATAGCGCAAATACATCCCACATTGCTTTTCAGATAATCTCCGTCTTCTTATAACGCTATCCAAATACTTAAAATAAACTTAAGAAACAACTTCCAAATTCATAAAGTCACAGATTATGTACATATTCCCCTGCTTAAAATATAGCATTAAAAGTTACATTTTCAAGGAAATTTAACATGTTTGTGTGCATTCATTAGATTCTATGTTTCTTTTTAGCTACCTAATGTATCGATATGATTTTTGGGCAAAGTTAAACTTTAAGCACCAGTAACTACCAACCGTGATTTTGTGCGTCAGTCGCATAGCGGTTGGGACGCTCGCCGACCATGCACATGGTCCGGGGTTCGATCCTCGGCCGACAAGGTACTCCTTTACCTGGCTAAGCCAGAAATAAAAAAGCTGGTAAAGAGGAAAGGTTGGGCAAGAGGCTAGCAACCCCATCCTGTAAAAATAAACACTGCTACAGAAACTTGAAGCCTCTAGCTTGAAGCCCTATGTTCCACTGGGAAACGTGAAGGAATAAAAAAGACTACCAATCAGTGAATGACCTCGCACCGATCACGTGAAGGAGCCATTTTTGTGTATGGAATACATATATATTTATGAAAAAATGCATAAAAGATGTATAAAAGTGTTACAGAGGATATCTTCCTCTCACATGTGATTAAAATAGCTCTCAGTTTTAGGTTGGAGTATCAACAGAGTATAATTCCATTGTGGGTGAAATTTATTTTGATAAATTCTTATAGTGTAATACAGTAATATATACTGAGCAGTAAATCGGGCTTGAAACGTGGTCATCAGTAAATATTACTGTATAACACACTGTGAAACTTTACCGAAATAAATTTTACCCACAATGGAATTATACTCTACCTCCACAGTGCACAAGTTCTATTCTTATATCAACAGAATAATTTAACCGCATTCTATGTATGTGATTATTTAGGTCTTCTAACCCTAACAATAACCACAATGTTTCCTGAACCCTAACGTGAAAATATCCCTAAACTGACTGTAATCTAAATCGAACTAACCCCAATGTCGCCTTCATTAGGTTAATCTAACCCTAACTTATCCTTGGCCTAAACTGGAACTTAATCTTTCCCAAACCTAAGCTGAAACTTGCCAGATATCCCATTTAATAGCATAACACTTCGATGAGCATATTTTATTGATGATGACAACATTATTTGCCAGGTTTTATTAACTTGCTCAGTGAGCGCTTCAAGGTCATTGGTGTGGTCGCACCCTATTGGTAGTTAGTGGTGCTTAAAGTTTAACTTGGTCGATTTTTTGTATTCAGAAACGAGCCAATTTCCTGCTTGGCCATAATTTATAGTGTCAATGTGGAAACGTGAGACAGAAACTATGAAAGCCACTGTAGGTAATTCAATTGTCCGGATTCGATTCCTAGACTAAACGTCACCAAGTTTACTAGCCAGTTAAAAGCTTGGAAAAGAGAGGAAGGCGTGCGGATGTATGGCCAACTACCTCACCTATTGAAAGGAACAATATTACCACAAAAAATCTAAAGCTTAAAGACCTATTCCCATGAACTGTGATCAAGATATGACACAAAATTCCAAAAGCTGGTTGATCGAATATTAAGCAAACTTACCATTGGTTAGATTTCGAACAGTGTGATTATTGAAATCTTCACAAAATGAAGGTGTGAATAATTCATAGTGTATTACAGGAGTACTGAAATACGGGAAATTAGGTATTAAAGACCAGAGAAAATATATAAACTGTTCAAAAGGCTATATCACTTTTAAAAATAACTCATTACAAGACAGTCTTTATTGTAAATCAGCATTAAGATATATATATATATAACTAATATGTTTGTGAGCACCTAAGCACCACCAATACTGCTTGCTAGCCAGATTGAGGCGATTGAAACACCGGATGACTATTTTGCCTCGTTTGAGGTCGAGTTCATCAGTAGTGTACCACTCGAAATTTGGCTAGCTACTATGGTGCTATTTTTATGTAGTTGTGTTCTCTGAACAGCTGGATGGTTTATTTGTGAAGCTTTCATTGCCCCACCACTAGGCAACATCTTTAGCACATACTTCAATTTGATAAAAATGAGGTTTTAGATTTCTCCACTAGTTCATTGTTAGTCATCTCTCCTGGTGTGGGACCTCGAATGTGAGTGGTTATTTTCGTGTGTTTTCACACCCCCTAGGCTGCACCCGTATTGGTACTGATTGTTTGCTTGACCTGAAGTTTGACCCTTCGTGTATGAGATTCCCTTCTTGTCGATTGGTAAATTTTGTCTATCTCGATATGTCAATTAACTGACGATTCACTGGAACACCAGGCAGGCTTCTAAAATTTCTCTAGCATTCCTGGTGTTTCCTCTGTCTAATATTTGAATGTTGTCGCAGTCGAAATGATGTCTATGGTTGTCTGTATGTATTGATATAATGGAGTGGATATCACGTCTTTTGACGGCTAATTTATGATTATGGATAGGAGGACGAAGAGGATATCCACTTTGGCCGACGTAGTGTTTTTCGCAGTCGTTGCTTTCGTTGTTGAATCTGTCTTTCGGTTGACAAACGGCTGGCTGTATGAGTAAAGTGATTTTGTTGGTGCGTGTGTGTGACGTTAATTCCTAATGGTTTGAAGAATCTTGTAATGATTTCTAAGATATCTTTTGTGCATGGTAGGGCGATTTTCTTTGTGCTTTCCTTGTGAGCCATTGATTTGGCAGGTTGACTTGGGGGTAGATGTCTTTTGATGAAATTCCAAAAAACTGCGTAAACCACAAAGTGAGGATTAATTTGCAAGTTGAGCAACTTGTATTTTGGTGGTTGTATTTTGATGTTATTTTGTAGAATGGAATAAATTTATAGGATGCAAGGATTAAACGAAGGAAAATTTACTTGTCAGCAGTTAAAGCTTTAGAAATGTTTGCAAAATTCACACAGCTGGATTACGCAATGCATAATTTTAGAGAGAGAATAATTAAGAATTAAGTGAGTACTCAAGTTGATCACGTAATCAACCATTAAAGATGATATAGTCAGAAACTACTAGTGAATGGGTATCCACCAAGACTCATAGACAAAAACATGAGGGAGGAAAGGCTCCTGCGGCCAAAAATCACAACTGTTCCTAAGAAAACTCTCTTAATGAACCTGGAATTCAAAGGGGACATCGAGGCAGAAATTATTTCTAAATGTCTGAAGAAGATATTTCAAGCAGCCATCTTAAGCAAAACATTCTCCAGCAGATAGATAATCCAGTCTAACTTTAAGGATAAAATACCGCTTTTGGCCACCTCAGTGTGTATCTATCAGTTTACTTGTTTGTGTGGAGTAAAGTATATCGGCCGTACGCAACGTCAAGACCGCAAATATATTCTGGAACACTGTCCAGCTAGAGGAGAAAAGAAGAATACTATCAGCTCCATCCTCAAACACCTTATCAACTCTAGAAATCGAGCACCCCATGCATGAATGCTTCACAGTGCTACACAGAGTCCATCAATATTAAACTAAAGGACTTCAAATACTCCATCTGTACATAGCTGAATCATTAGGTATTCGGGATCTGAAACCGAAACTCTCCATTCAAAAGCACCATATACATTCCCTCACCCCACCGTGACCACAGTAACGTCCTCACTATAATTTTGCTTCCTTTTATTATATAACTTTACTATTATTATTCTCATCATCCTTATTTTATTATCACTCTACTACTGTTTATTAACAACATTACGTTTTAGTACAGCTTCTATAAAAACATTTTATCGTCTTTCCACTAGTTCTCGTACACTCCACACAGTCATACTGATGAGCCGTTTTCTCACACTTATTAGGTCATCCCAACTTCTGCCTGTCCTCTAATTTCCAGTTACTTACCCCTTCTAGATTACACCTTACACTATGTAATATGTTTTTCGAGAACAAACCTTACCAGTATCTGATTGGTTGTCTTATAATTTCTTTGTTAATTATAATTACGATTGTACAGCTCATGAAAATTAATCGTCAAAAAGAGAATTTTCTTCTCTGTTTACGTCTTTTCTTATGACATAATGTGGGAATATTTCGTTCAATATTAAAATAATTAGGACATTGGATAACTTGTTAAGGGCTTCGGAGGAGGAAGAAACCGTTAGTTTTTTACATTCATGCAATCACGGTCATGTAAAATTTACAATCTCTAATGACACATCCTTGGAAATATTTCTCTCGTTGCTAAGATAGTCAACTACATATATACGCGATTGTACAGCGGTGGCACAGTGGTTAGGACTCTCGCCGACCATACACATGGTCCGAGGTTCGATCCCCTGCCGACGCACACCCGATATCTATGGTCGGCCTGTAAATTTGGGCTACCGATATCCATGCTGAAAATTCCATGCTTGTACCGAAAATACGGTGTGGCATCAAGCTGTAATCAAAATAATAAAAAAATAAAAATAGCTTCAGAATGATATCGCCGAAAGCAAGAGTAACTCTTCGCTGATGAACGCCTTTACTTGCATATGAATCAATGGGGAACTTTTAAAATCTATGTGTATAAATGAAATATAATCGACTTCAAAGTTATACAGTCCTTCGTAATATCTCATTCTTTAGAAACATACTTACCATAACTGAATTACTTCAAATTGTTTCAACCATGATTTTAATCGCTTCACTTTACTCAGTGGTATTGCATTAAAGCTTTGTATACTTTCATTGTTATTTTTCTGAAAGAGAAATCCAACTTATGAAAGAAATTATATGAAAAAAAGTAAAAAATATATATAGTGAATTGGCAGAAGTTAGAATTCATGGGCCATTGGATCGGGTCCCAGTGGCTTAATGGTCTACGAGCTCGCCCGCCCTGTTACTAGAAGGTCCTGGGTTCGAACCCATCTCGGGTGGGTGCGTACTGATGAAGAGTCCCAAACTAGACTGACGAAACAGCTGTCCAGTACTCCCAGGTTTTCCAATGGTTCTCTAACCAATGTCAGCTCATGATGAAATCCTGTAACCAATCAACTAAATCCCTACAAAGCAATACTTGGAAAAAATATTCGATTTTTCAAATGCTCAAACTATCTGAATGAATTTCAGTTCCTTGTTGTTAACAGGTAGCATTTTGTACGACGAAAGCTTCGCAACTAAACCAAACAGCTCAGAGAACACTTTTAATTGCAAATCATCCACCTGAGCTACAAATCTTCTCTAGCATTTTGTACTGTCGACTTTATCCACCAGGATGTTAAAACAAACCGGTATCCTAAGTCCTATTGAAAATCTCAATGACATAATAGAGTTCGGCCTAATGATAATACATTCAAACACCATGCATGTAATCAGATTGACTCAATTCAAACGTGTATTACTGACTTATCGAAGAACGTCACAGAAAGGTCCTATGCTGTCGATGAACTACCACAATACTTAAAGAAACTTATTTTAGAGCATATGGATGAAATTGTTAGTAAAAGGAAAGAAAAGAAACGTGCGGAGTTGTTACAGAGTCTGGAGAACAAGGCATCTGAAACAAGGTTTCCTCCGAACCCAAGCTGGTTTGTGTGAAATTTTTCGGATGTAGTTCTTAGTGAAGTGGATCTACAAGTTTTATCGCTTGGCCTACATTTTGTGATAGCTATGTTAAAATTAATAAAATGGATGCACAATTTCATTTTGAAAGTCTCTACTCTCAAAGAGAAGGTCTAACACCCTCATCAACTGAAAATTTTGAAAGACTTAAATCAACTCTCGTCAATTGTTGCTATTATTAGATGAATAACCTCGCCTAGATTACTAGGTCACTAGTATTCTAGCCGGTCCCAAGCCCGGATAAAGAGGGAGGGTTGGGGCGTGGTGCTAGCAACTCCACCCCCAAAACTTAACCAAATTGCTACTAAAACTTCAACGCACAAATATATTCAAAATTCTAAAATTACAAATAGTGACCTTATTTTTCGCTGGAATCGGGGAAGTGAAATGACGTGGGCTGGTGAAAGCCTTCGGGAAGCCAGTCAGCCGATGTGCCTTCTTTCGATGAAAGCGAAAATAAGGATGGGGACGTGGAATGTTCGTACAATGTACGAAGCTGGGAAGGCTGCTCAGGTAGCCGCAGAAATGAGGAGATATAAAATAGAAGTGTTGGGAATCTGCGAGAGCAGATGGAACGGATGTGGAAGGAGCTAACTATCAACTGGAGAGACAATAATCTACTCCGGTCACCCAGAGGACAATCACGAGCACACCGAGGGAGTAGCCATCATGATGTCACCAACAGCGGCTAAAGCTCTCATGCAGTGAGAACCAATCTCCTCCAGGATAATGACAGCCAGGTTCAACTCAAAAGGAAAGAAGGTTACAATCATTCAGTGCTACGCGCCTACAAACGCCTCAGAACATGAGAAGAAGGAGGATTTCTACAGTCAACTACAAACAGTAATGGACAACGTCCCAAAGAGCGATATCAAAATCCTGATGGGCGACATGAATGCGAAACTGGGAGGAGACAATACAGGAAGAGAACTCACAATGGGTCGTGAGGCCCTCGGTGAAATGAACGAAAATGGCGAACTCTTCTCAGACTTCTGCGCCTTCAATGATTTGGTGATTGGTGGCAGTGTGTTCAAACACAGGGATATACACAAGGCAACATGGATTTCACCAGATGGACACACCAAAAACCAGATAGACTTCATTTCAATCTCAAGGAAGTGGAGACGGAGCCTACTGGACACAAGATCGAGGAGAGGAGCAGATGTGGGTTCAGACCACTATCTAGTACAAGGGACTTTCAAGGTGAAGCTGAAAGCCTCGAGGATACCTGGGGATAGGCCACAATGCAAGTTCAACACTCACAAACTGAAGGACACAATCACACAGGACATTTTCACTGCAACTGTCAGAGCAAAGCAGGAAACACTACGTGGCATCACTGAGGAATCATCCGTGGAAGACCATTGGAACTCTCTGAAGGTGATTTTCAACGAAACGTGCTCAACGGTTTTAGGAAGAAAGAAGAAACAAGACAAGGAATGGCTCTCAACAGACACTTGGAAACTAATAGAGGAGAGGAGAAAGGTGAAAGAGAAAATGATTCAATGCAAAGATGGACAAGAGAAAAAGAAGCTGAACTCAACTTACACGGCACTGGACAAAGAAGTGAAGAAGAGTGCCAGGAAGGACAAAAGACAATTCTACGACAACCTGGCTACTGAAGCTGAGAAGGCAGCAGGCAAAAGGGACCTGAGGACACTATATCAGATAACCAAGTCTCTATCCGGGAAGAGATCAACACAAGTGAAACCTATAAAAGACAGCCAAGGGAACCCAATTACCAAAGAAGAAAGACAGATTAAACAATGGGCGGACCACTTCAAAGGACTCTTGAATCGACCACCACCTACAACCCGTCCAGTAATAACAACAACAGCACGTACACAACTGCAAGTTGACACCAATCCTCCAACGAAAACTGAAGTCATGAATGCAATCAAGCTTCTGAAAGCTGGAAAAGCAGCTGGACCAGATGGAATACCCCCAGAAGCACTGAAAGCGGACCCAGAAACGACGGCAGATATGCTGACTCCATTATTGCAAAAGATCTGGAAAGAGGGAAACGTGCCTACTGACTGGAGGAAAGGTTACCTCGTGAAACTACCAAAGAAGGGCGACTTAGACGCTGGAAGAACTGGCGAGGAATCATGCTCTTGTCGACGCCAAGTAAAATCCTGAGTCGCATCATCCTGGAGAGAATAAAGGACTCACTGGATACAGAACTCCGACCAGAACAAGCTGGATTCAGGAAAGGCAAATCATGTTCTGACCAAATTGCAACTCTACGCATCATCATCATCGAACAAAGCATGGAATGGCAATCAAACCTCTACCTCAACTTTATAGACTTTGAGAAGGCCTTCGACAGCGTTGACCGCGAAGTAATTTGGAAACTAATCGAGTACTACGGCGTACCCCAAATATTCATCAACCTTATTCAACAGCTGTATGACAACGGTACATGTCAAGTGATCCACAACGGAAAACTCAGCGAGGCGTTTCGAGTAAACACAGGAGTCCGACAAGGGTGCTTATTATCACCAATGATATTGCTAATAGTGGTGGACTGGATTATGCGTCAGACAGTGGGAAACGAGAAGACAGGGATATCCTGGACCGACGTGAAGAACCTAGAAGACCTGGATTTCGCGCGTGGATGATTTATGTTTGATGTCACACAAAATCGAAGACTTACAAGCGAAAACCGACGAACTGGTCGAAGAAGCAGCCAGAGAAGACAGGACTGCAGGTGAACATAGACAAAACGGAGGTTATGAAAATAACCAACCAACAACAGCAACAACATCCAGTGCCAATCACCATCAACGGGAGGGATTTGAAAGAGGTTACTTCATTCACTTATCTAGGGAGCATTGTCTCAATTACAGGAGGAACGGACGGACGAGGATGTCAAATCGAGAATCGGGAAGGCGAGAAACACATTCCTCAACCTGAAACCAATCTGGAAATCTCCGTCACTCAACTCAGCATCAACAACAAAATTCGGATTTTCAATACAAACGTCAAGTCAGTTCTTCTACATAGATCAGAAACTTGGCGGGTCACCAAGAATATTTTCAAAAGGTTGCAGACCTTTATCAACAACTGTCTTCGCTCCATACTGAAGATTAGATGGCCGGAAAGAATCACAAACAAGAAGCTATGGGAACAAACGAAACAGGAACCAATCGCCCAACAAATATGCAGGAGGAAGTGGAGATGGATTGGACACTCGCTGAGGAGGCCGTTGAGTGACATCGCGTGTCAGGCCAGTGCTCGAGTGGAACCCAAAAGGGAAGCGGCGAGTGGGACGTGCAAGGGTGACATGGAGGAGATCATGTGAGGAGGAGATGAAACAGTATGGAATAACATGGACGCAAGTGAAAAGTACAGCAGAAGACAGAAACAAGTGGAGACGTGCAGTTGAAGCCCTATGTTCCACTAGGAACCCAAGGGAACAATAATAATATATTAGATGAATAGTAAACGCAACTTGGATAGTATTTTGACCAAAAAACATGAAGAAGCTCTAGATAGTCTCCGTAAAAATGGTAACATAGTAATAACAAGATTGGAAAAGGGTTCAGGAGTAGTTGTCAAGAACAAAGCGGATTAACTAGAGAAGATGAATACTATTCTTAATGATAATCTAAAATTCCAGAAAATCTCCTCTTCCCTGGATCCTACTGAAAAGAGACGGAAACAGTTAGCGGGAAAGTTGACAAGTTTCACCACTGAGGAAGAAAGAGACTCCAGTATTTTATTTCTAGACGTCCTTATGACCAGTAAAGAGGACGGTGCAATAAGAGGAAGTGTATATAGAAAACTTACATCAACTGACGGTCAGTAAACTCATTTTTTCAGCTCCGTACCTTTGAAATACAAACGTAGTCTGATAGAGCGCTTGGTCCACAGAGCCACAGCAATCTGCTCGGATGAATGTCTTGATGAGGAACTTAATAATATTAAACGATTACTGACAGAATGTGGTTACCGAGAGAAGTTTACTGATAAGAATTTGATTCAAAAATCAAGGCAGCCTAAGTTACCAAGAGTTCCTAAATAGGCCTTAATCTTACAAATTCAGTTTCTCAAGGATAAAATCAACGAGATATTGACACAACGCCTAAGGTTTACGGCGGTAGAAAGAGCATTCCTTGATGCTGAATTACGCTATGTCTTCAAAACCAACCCTATTATGCGTTCGGGAGTATAAGATGAACCGCCTAATTTCTATTTGTATCTAGCAATTTGACTGCTCCTGTGGAGCCAGTTAGTTACATAGGCCATACAATTAGGTGTGTTTATCATCGGATTTCCGAACACTATCCTGTGTGGTTAAGTGAAGGACAAACAAAATCTATTCGTAGGGCTATTCTGTCTCATCTTGTGGATACAGAACACAAGATTGATGTTAAAGAGGCTTTCAAAATTATTTGCCGCATACCAACAAATCTTAACTTTACCTTAATAGTTCGTCTACTGTCAGGATCTACATTAAGAAACCTAAATAATGTATCCTAAAGAAGAGGTTGGTTCAGACACTGTCCTTACCTTGGCCATCTAGGTTAGAATGAGCCTCAATTTTTTGTAGAAATTTCCTTAATTTTAGTTGATATTCTATTTGCTATTATATCTTTATTATTATTATAATTTAAGCACCTTTAAAGAACTGTAATACTATTGATCTTACTTAACAAATCGAAAATTTTAAAAACACCAATATTGTTATTGGCTACTATTCTAGTATATTCTACGTATATAAACATACAGATATCTAATTGTAGAGCCAGAAGAGGAAATTGTCGAAGAGGATATTCTCTGCTAAATTAGTTTATTTTTTTATTTTTAAGTGTTAGCTTGCAGAGGATCCGGTGAATTCCAAGTTAAATCATAAAGTGACATTATTTAGAGAGGCAATTATAAATAGGAATTGCTAGAAGAGTGTCTCACCCTAGTTTGGAAATTTCTTGCAGTATGCAGACATGACTTCACCCATAGTGGATCGAATTCAGAAGCTACATGTTTGCAAGGTGAGCTCGTTGACCATTTAGCCATTGGGTCGGAATCCAATGGATCATGGATCCTGACTTCTGCCAGTTTGCGGCGTGTGGCTCACTAGTGACTGACCACAGAATGAAGCTACCTGGAGTTCTATAGTGAGATTATCCAACCTGGGTATGAGGACAGATATTCGCTGATGACATTGGATGACGATTGCTCTATATTCGCAGATACGCAGTAGTGAGAATTTACGGAATAATGAATTCTGTCTCGGTGGCTGAATGATCACAGGCTTTGCCTCGTAATCTAGAATTCTTAGTTATGGTTACTATTCTAATCACTGGTGGATACTGTTGAATAGCCTAAACTCGGACGAAACAGTTTTCTTGTACTCCCTCATTCGCAACGGTTCTCTGACTGATGTCTGTCAGTTTTCGGTCTAACTTAAGATCAGATATTGTTCTATTGGAATTTTATGCCTAACTGATCTATCTGGGCTGTTTAAAGCTCTGAAGCTTGTGACAGTATTTTATGATTCTGTAAACTTTAAGCTCAACACCAATTTTTAATAATATGAAGTATATTAGCTTACAGTCATATATAGTATACCTGTAGAATTAGATATTTTATTAATCTTCAATTTTCTATCAATATATTTTAAACTCGAACAATGATGCTTTAATGGAAATTATTAAGTGATATACAATGTGAACACTTTTTCTATGTTTCAAAATCAAATCTAAATTAATTTTCAAGTGTGAGTTTTCAGGAATTTGATTGGTTCCACGATTTCATCATGAACTGACATCAGTTAGATGACCATTGGAAAGCCAGCAGCTCCGTCCAAATTTGAGACTCTTCACAGTACGCAACCACCGGGGTTCGGACCCAGATCCTTCTGGTTACATGGACGAACTTGTAGATCATTGAGCCACTGGGACCCGATCAAATGGCCAGTAAGTGGACGAATTCCAACTTCTGCCGATTGATGATATGGCGTGACCACTAGCCAATGTCATCCATGGAGAGTATTTGTCCTCACACCCGACCTACTGTACTCCACTAATTACAACTCCCCATTAGAACCCAGGTAACTATCTACCTACTTGAATAGGACCAGTTACTAGTGAGCATCAAAGTGATATTCAAGTGTTGTTTGCATCAGTGATTTCATTGGTTTCATGAATGAAATTTATGGATTAGCCATTGGATAGGGTCCAGTAGCTTAATAGTCTACGAGCTTGCCTTGTAACACTGGCGGGGGCTGCGTATTGATGAAGAGTTCAAAACTAGGACGAAACAGGTGGCTGTCCAATATTCCCAGACTGTTTTTCCATTGGTCCTCTGACTGATGTCAGTTCATGACGAAATCCTGAAACCAAAATAATGTATATGCCATGTACTGAGACTCGACAGATTGAACTTCTTTCGTCGAATCAGAGGTGGAAAATTGGAAAAGAAGGACAACTGTGGCAAACTACCTCCCACCCACCCCAATGCAGTTCATTGTCCATAACCATTTAGAAGAATCACCATTGATAAAATTTGAAATTATTTATTCACACTTGTAACTTTGTGCTGATACATCCCCAGGTTAAGCTGATCAGCCTCATTAAGGTGCATATGATGTCTTGATATTACCACCATTACGAATTAGAAGTTACCTTTTATACCAGAGGTAACTCTTATGGTGATGGGTGTTGATTTCAAGTGTCAACCTGATGAGTCCTAAATAAGATGAATCCTGCACTCCAGATTCCAACTTCCTCTACCATTAAACAAATGACAAGATTTATATTTAAGTTAAGAAATCTGTGATGATCCATATACACATATAGTGTGTGCTACTGACAAGGTCTGTAGATAGTATATAGCTCTCCTTTCTTGGTCAACCTGGACGAACACCCTACGACAGGTCATCCATATCGGTGCCGTGCTTACCGTAGACGCCCGATCAGTTCGAGTACCTATACGCCGGGACTCTCAGTCCCACATAGTTCTGTACCCTGTGGAGATAACCTGCTTTAGGGAGGGTTACCCAGGTCAGCTAAGGAGGAACAGTCAGCCTATATATATACTACTTATAAGTCTTATCAGCAGCACAGGCCACACACATGATAAAATTTGACTAACCAGTACTTAGGCATAGTTTAATATGATTTTTGGAGTAAGCCAAATATTCTTATTGAGCTCTTGTGGAATAAAGTGGACCAGCTATAGCCAGAGAATGCTTTACGCATGGATGCGACAACAAATCCCAACACGGTTCCACATGGGAGAAAATGTGTGAGAACCTCTGTTCTAGAACGCACTTGATCGACTTTTGTCACTATCATCCCCTACCCTTCCAGGGTTTTCTTCGTCCCATACTTCTAAAGATAATGGGAACCTTGGCCATATGTGAATTCAAGCCAGATCTTTGTGTATAAAAGAAGTATATACAGTCCCTAATTCCATTAGCTGATATGAATTAGAGAACCGCTGAAAGCCAATAGGGAGTACTGGAAAGCTACTGCCTCTTAGTTTGAGACTCTTCAGCAGTTCTTACCCACCAGGGTAGCAACCCAGTATCATCCACTTACAAAGCAAGCTAACAGACCATTCACTCGCTTGGACCCAATCCAATAGCTGGCCTATGAATTCCAACTTCTACCAATCAATCTGATATTCGCTAGTAACTGAGTACAGGATGAATTTGGCTGAAGTTCCATTGAGAAGTCATCACCGGTAGGGTCCACCAGGTCGGACAAATACTCGCCAGCGATACTGGCTGATAATCGCGCTGAAGTCGTGACTTGGTAGAAGTTGGAATTCACTCGCTACTGAATCAATTTCCAGTGGCTGATTGGTCTGCGAGCTCACCATTTAACCAGACGATCCCGGTTGATGAGTCCAAAACTGGGACGAAACAGCTATTCAGCAATCCCTGGTTTTCAATGGTTCTCTAACTGATATCAGTCCACTATCGAACTTGAAACTTTTGAAAATCCTACAAACTAACTCTTAAAACTATTAATTTAAATGTAAATTCAAGCTTACCGGACTTTCATTGAGTCTTATTCTAAAATTCATATAAGTTTCTGAAGGATTGTCATTTACACTGTAAGTATCTAAACACGACAGAAAACAATACACTGAAATATTTAGATGTGAAATTTATGCAGGTATAATTATCTCAAGGATGAATCGGTGGTATCTAGCAAACTACTGCAAATCATGTGATACTTTTTAGATGTTTCTTCATGTTTTACAGAAACAGAGATATTATTTGGATGATGCCAGACGCGAGGTTTTCGTCTTATTCGAGACTCATCGACTGGATTCATCTCTTATCCTTGTTGGAGACATTGTCATCCATTGGAAATAGAGCTATATTCAATCGGACAAAACTTATTTCTAGAATTCCGCCGTTAACCATAAAAAATCAAATAACACTATGTTTCGAAGTAATTTGTTGGGTGGTGACTTTCAGTGGAATACAGGATGCGCATTTCGTCTTATTTGAAACTTATCATGTAGATGCACCTGCAATCCCTAGTAGGTGACAGTGTTCCCATTGGGATAGGAACCTAGTACTCATTGTTTCAAACGTCGAAGTATATATGCTAGACCACTTGGGCCACGAGATCCTCCTCTGGCACAACGATCACCAGTAATTAATTGTTTTTAATCCAATTTTCATCTTCCCATTGATTGATTGGACGGATATGTTCGGCCGCACTTGATATGTCGACCAGTAGACATATCTGAGGCTTAAAATAGAATAATTCGGTAAACTATCGATGGAAGATAGGATGTGCATTTCATACTTTTTGAACCTTGTCAGCTAGTCACCATCCGCCGAAATGATCATCAAATCCATAGCACTAGGAGATGGAAATATCTTCTGCATAAATACTATGGCATCATTCATTGTGACAGTGAATATCTACTTGACGTCATTCCATATTAGTTTGTTTATTGGATTTATCATTCACAGTGAGTGAAACAATATTATTTACTCGACGACAAAGTTTCGAACACAATTTATTATTGTTCATAATCATATTCTCAATTGTAATAATACGACTTCGAAATCTGAGTTTTATGGTTTTCATTGTTCTGTCCTATTTGTCGTCGTAAGGCTAGTAGAATTTTCTAGATGTCCGAGTGGACAGGTATTGAAACATTCCTATTGCACATGTTGGTTCGCATTTGATTCGAACATATCAACTCAAAGGTGGAGGCAATTCAATTCACTTACAAGTTGGAAAGTCAGGAAGGGGAGCTTCCAATGTTAGATTGCAACGTAAAAGGGAAAGAGGATGGGAAGTTAAACACTAGTGTTTAAAGGAAACCCATACATTCAAACAGATATTTGGACTTCCGATCATCCCATCTTATGTCAATAAAAATAGGATTGGTGAAATGTTTGAGTAATAGAGCACAAAAACTAAGTAATATCAAGGAAAATTTAAGACAGGAAGTAAGGCATATAAAAGAAGATTTGAAACTTAATGATTACCCTGATAAATTAGTCACAAAGGATGTAGGGAAATGTAAAAATAAAAATAAAATAATTAATAATGGTAGTGATAGTGATAATAATAATAATAATGACGACATGCATGTCAAACATGTGCAGGATAATGACAATACCAACAATAAGGAATCTTAATCGTCAGTAGAACTTCCATACAAAGGAGGAACCTCGGAAACCTTACGCAGAAATTTTAACAGGGTTGGAATAAGAGTGGCTGGCGTTCAAACCCACAAACTCAGTTAGAAACAAGCTTTGTCGGTTAAAGGATCAATCCTGTGGAGCCTTTAAAACAAAACAAGTTAGTTTATCTAATACCCTGCTTGCATGATTTTCAGGTCAAATACGTAGGCCGAAGTATTAGTGTAACAACAGAAGACAAGGGCCAGGCAACAGATCGTTTATTTAGGAAATCAACAGATATTTATAGATTTTCATGTACATTATTATAGATCATTGTAAGCGAACAAACACAGTCTTCTGATTGGTGGTTTCTCGCTGAACGTTAATGTTTCATCTCTTTGCGACCGTTTCTTGAAGTTCAGATTATCTATCTGTAAACTGTATCCACCTACGCAAAGGCTGCTGTGATTAGTTGTTGAGTCAGTCTTTGTTCTTATTTTTCTCATGACGAATATTGGGGACGTAAACATTGACGTAAAGTACTGTCTACCAATTTCGGCTAGCAGCCAGCTCTCTCTACAGTAGAACAGGAGCAGTCAGACTAGCATAGCATAATAACCTAACAAAATCTAGATTAGTTGACCCAAATAAGATAAGAAATCCAGAGAACACTTCAGCTATACCATTCACTACATGCAATTACACATGCACCCATACAATAGGATGATGTGATAAGATGACAGTTTTAAAATCTAATGTCACAGGTTGGAGGGAGAAATTGATAACAGAAGCTTTGTTTATCGAATCAACTGCGAACCAACACGTGTAATAGGAATGATTCAACACCTGTCCCAGATATCTGGAAAATTCTACTACCCCTACGACAACGAATAGGAGAGAACAAAGAAAACTATAAAACTCAAGTTTCGAAGTCATGTGATTACAATTGATGAAATGATTATGGACAATAATAAATTGCGTTCAAAACGGTGTCATCCAGTAAATAATATTACTGTCTCACTTACTGTGAGTGATATATCTAATAAGCAAACTAATATGGGACTACTTACTATCACAGTGCCCAAATTTTACACACATATTAATATCTACTTGACGATTTCTGTTAACACGATGTGTTAAACTGTCTCACGAGGATGTAAGAAAGAAATAAACAGCACGAATCAAAAGTATGAGCACTGTTCAACAATAAGTATGTAGAAAATATTATTTAGGTGCTCAGAGTTCTAAGAAAAACCTTACTCATACACCGAAACAGCGTAAACTGGTAAATGTATTGAAAAAATTGCACATGATATGGAGAGAAAACATAAAGAAAGTAGTACCACAATAGACATCACTTCCCTCACCGCTACATCATTAATAAACGACTTCAAAGAGCTACTCTAAGTGTCTCTAATCAATAACTCTTAACATAATTAACACTAAAACCACGTATTTTGTACCTTATTTTTCGATTAAGATCAAAGATTAGAAAGTTTGTAGATTATTTTTACAACTATTATTGAGTAAGCTGGAGCGGCAACTCTAAACAATAGGAACCCAAACTGAAACGACCTATGAACGCACAAACGACCTTGAGAAACCAATCAGGTGACTCTGTTGTTTCTAGAAGTAATTATGGATGCTCTACACCTCTACTGCGATTCCTAATCGCATTGCTGGTGTATTATTGCCTATTATCCAGCGCTTAGTGCTGCCCGGGACCACTATTCACACAGACGAATGGAGTAGTTATGGTCAGTTGTCGAATCTCGGGTTTATTCATCATGTAGTCAATCACACAGACGGTTTTCGCAATCCTTTGGATGGAACTCATACTAATTGCATCGAAAGTTTCTGGAGTCACCTGCAAGAAAAGGATTAGATTTGTGAACGGATCAAGAAATCCAATGATATACAGTTATCTGTATGAGTTTATGCATAGAAGTTGCTTTAACATCAGTATAAAGACTCCTATGAGAAACTGAGAGCTTTTTTTGCAACATATACAAGAACTTTGTCCTTTGTAACTATTTTTTAACATTGCTGTACTTATATATAAACGATTTTTTACAATTATGCAGCGTTTTTTTGGAGCCTTCTGAGTGGTCAAAGTTGTCCTTAACAAGGTCGTTTGTGCGTTCGTAGGTCGTTTCTGTTTGGGTTCCTATTGTTTAGAGTTACCGCTGTAGCTTTCCTTAGAATAATAGTTTACTCAAAGTCTAGTTGATCACATGACAAGGCTGATACTACAGACAAGTAATCATCAAAGTAGATTGAATGATACTGTTTAAATGAAGATGGTCAGCGCTGAGTCCAGAATTCGCCTTTCATCCCTATCATGGACTTATCACAGTTGGATAAGCCATCATGCACAGTGAGCCAAGGTGTTCTCAGTGAGACTTAAATCAAGCAGATGGCATTTCAAATGTCGATTAAATCACTAAATCAACTGTTATATGCACCTAATTTTGCCTAAAACCTTAAAATAACTATTTTAAGGAGTTATCGCGCACTGGCGTGATCCCTCTATTTTTCCCTCTATTTGGATTTCTGGATTCCTATTGGCTGTTAATGCCTTTTAATGCATCGCTGGATTACTGCGTTTTCAGGGTCATTCTAACTGTATGTATACAGAGTTTCTGTCTAACATTTAAAACTGTTGTTTCTCTTGTTTTTGCATGCCGGCGGTGTTGTTGTTATTGTTGTGGTTGACGTGTGACTCGGACAGATTAGCCAGTGCATTAAGTCAGTACTCACTCAAAGTCAACTAGGTTGTAGTTCCAGTCATAACATGAACAGCCGTATTGAAGGATTTTAAGGATATTTCTTGAGGTAGAAAAGAACAACACTAATACAGAATTTATGGATTTCACAGCAGGTTAGCATTATTGCACGCAGAGCTGTAGTTGTTATAAGCAAATTTCTGTGATCCCTGTTGTTTGGAATATTCATAACTTAGAGGCTGTCGACGATTTACTTTGTACTCAATAGATGATAGGAAAACAACAGATCCTTCAACAATGCATTGATGACCTGATTGGGCCAGGTAGTCTAATATCGAACTGTTGACGGTTCCAACAACACCTCTAATTAGCTGCACTCTCATAGGTGTTCCCGAGCACAAAAGACTAAGTTCCCAAAGCGACACTCAATGTAACTGGTTGCATAAAAACAGTCAGATTGACAGACACAAGAGCAGGTCGCTAGCATAGGTACTTTGTCTTTCGCTTGAGGAATCACAACAGGTCCTGTGGATTACATAACCTGCAGATTATTGGCATTAAAAGTTTTTCGAATCGATTTTCTCAACTTGTTGGTTATACGCACATATTTATTGAGACTTTCTTTGTTTTACCTACCTGTTAGATTCAGCGGGTGATTCAATGTTTCAATAGAATATTCGTCTGCATCAAACATTTGTTTTAATGAATGTATGATATGCTGTTTTAAAATGTCTTCATTTTGTTTGTCTAAAACTAGATGAAAATTAGAGACCATAAAAGAAATGATATTAATAATATCAATAATAATAGTAATAATAACATAGTAATTGTTCGCTAGATGATAATTAGTGTGAATCGGTGGCACAGCAGTAGAACGCGCGCCAACCACGCATGTGGTCTGGGGTTCGATCCCCGGCCAACGGAGGCACTCCTTTACCTCGCTAAGCCAGTAATAAGACTAGTAAAGAGGGAAGGTTGGGCATGAGGCCAGCAACGTCATCCTGCAAATAAATTACTTCTGCTACCGAAACTTCAAATTCTAGCTTGAAGCCCCCTGTGTTCCACGGGGAACGTCAAGCAATAAAAGAAGAGGATAATTAGTGTCATGTGTCTAATAACTGGTGTTATTGCAAATCGGTTTCAACCAGTCAGTTTTATATTGTGGTCATTCAACACACTAGATGACGATTGGTGGAAACCGCCAGAAAGCTCTAAAATACCTTATCTTCATGATTTTTGGCACCTATCAGAAAGGAAAAATAATTAAATGGCTGAAGGCAGTCGACAAGAAGCCTCGCCCAAATGGGATTTCGTGTCTGTTGGCAATCACCTCTCAGCAAGTAGTGCATATCGGCAATCTTGAAGATTCTTATGTCCCCCTCCCTGAGATCCAAACCCGTGTCATCCAGTGTTCCAATCAGAGACGGTACCACAGAGCTGTTGAGGCTCACGACTGGTCTCCTCTAAGATACTTTGATTGAATACTAGTTATTATGCGTCTTGTACTTTGTTTGGTGCAACGTAAATTCTATCAGTCAAGTTTGCAATGCAACCACCATGCTAGATGGCTAGCCATCACGATATACAGTGAGTTGTTGTTATTAGGTGGTTAGAGGCAATCGGAAGGAAAAGCCATGGACCCATGTTTTGTACTCGTTGGTACGCGTCCGCAAGGCACAAGACTCACGTCCAGTCAAAGTTGTACATCCCTTAAAAAAAGTAATTTGGTGGTTATTGTATGAAATTATCTTTGATGCTTCCCCATTTATGCATTCCAATAACACAGACATGATATAATGATTCTGTTTTGCGTGAGGTGATGTATTCGTGGTTTGAGTTCCGTTTTTTAAGTAAATCCTTTCAGAAAGCGATGACACAAAATGAAACTTGAAATAGCAGGCAAGTTACAATAAAATACCTTCTTGTAACAGACGAAGAAGAAGATGAATTCAATCAAAATGATTAGGATCAAATTATTACTATTATTGTTCCCTTGGGTTCCTAGTGGAACATAGGGCTTCAACTACACGTCTCCACTTGCTTCTGCCTTATGCTGTACTTTTCACTTGCATCCATGTTAATCCATACTGTTTCAGTCCCTCTTCACACGATCTCCTCCATGTCAACCTTAGACGTCCCACTCGCCGCTTCCCTTTCGGGTTCCACTCGAGCGTTAGCCTGACGCGCAATGTCACCCAGCGGTCTCCTCAGCGAGTGTCCAATCCATCTCCACTTTCTCCTGCATATCTGTTGGGCGATTGGTTCTTGTTTAGTTTGTCCCCATAGTTTCTTGTTGGTGATTCTTTCCGGCCATCTGATCTTGAGTATAGAGCGAAGACAGTTGTTGATGAAGGTCTCCAACAGGCTGTTGGAAATATTCTTTGTGACCCGCCAAGTTTCTGATCCGTATAGAAGAACTGACTGACTTGACGTTTGTATTGAAAATCCGAATCATTTTGTTGTTGATGCAGGCTGAGTGACGAAGATTTTCAGATTGGTTTCAGGTTGATGAATGTGTTTCTCACCTTCCCGATTCTCGATTTGACATCCTCGTCCGTTCCGACTGCCTGTAGCTGAGACAATTCTCCCTAGATAAGTGAATGAAGTAACCTCTTTCAAATCCCTCCCGTTGATGGTGATTGGCGCTGGATGTTGATGCTGCTGTTGTTGTTGGTTGGTTGGTTATTTTCATAACCTCCGTGTTGTCTATGTTCACCTGTAGTCCTGTCTTTGCTGCCAGCCTCTTCGACTAGTTTGTTGGTTTTCACTTGTAAGTCTTCGATTTTGATTAGAATAAAAAGATGAAGTTAACTTTTTCTTGTTGTTAGATTTCATCAAGGACTGACGTCTTTTTGATATAGTTGTGTTTTCTCAGCTCGATGGTTTATTTGTGAAGCTTTCATTACCCTACTAGGCAACATCTTCAGTGCATATTTCAATTTGATGAAGTGAGCTTTTAGATTTCTCCATGGGTTTATTAGTCATCTTTCCTGATGGGTGATCTTGAACGTGACTGGTTGTTTTTGTGCATTCTCACGCCCTCTAAGCTACACTTGTATTGGTCCTGATTGTTTGCTTGGCTTGAAGTTTGACCCTTTGTATGCGGGATCTCCTTCTTATCGACTGGTAAATTTTGTCTATGTCAATGTGTCTATTAATTGACGACTCACCGGAATACCAGGCTTCTAAAAATTCTCTAGCATTCTTGGTGTTTCCTCTGTCTAATATTTGGACGTTGATTGTCCCAGTCGAACTGATGTCTGTGGTTGTGTGTATGCAGTGATATGGGTGAAGGAGTGGATATCATGTCTTTTGATGGCTATGAATGAAGTCATTTGGAGAATTACTGAAAACCAAGAAGCATTGAACAACCCCCAATCTCTTCCCTGTTTGGCGCTGTTCATTAGTACGCACGTATAGCCTCCACAGTAGTTGAAAGGAAGACCTTCATATTACGAGCGCCAGTCCCTCGGTCACTGGATTAAAATTCAATAGCACATGGATTCGAACTTCTGTCGAATATTTCCGTCGATGAGCATCAGCTTTACCCTGGAGTGGGGGGAACTGCCGACCATGACTTCTCATTATAACTTCAGCATAACCATATTATGGCCATAAATGAGCTTCAGACGTATATTCAGATGTATTTTTAAACCTTCTGTCTAGCATGGGCATGATGACAGAATGGCCAACTAAATAACACTAACCAACTATTTTTCAAATAGATGCTTCCCTATGATTCAGAAACTTCGCACGTCTTGAAATGCATTTCTGACAAGCCACTGCAGACCTTCGCAAACAGCTACCGCCTTCATTCATTATTGAAGATCAAATGTTGGGCCAGAAGGGATTAACAATAAGACACTCTGAAAGGCCCGCAGAACCAACCAAGAAACTATCAGTCAGCAAACAGGCAGAAAAACATGGGGATGGATTGGACACACAGTGTAGAGCCTGTTGAGTAAACCTACGTACCAAGCAAGTCATCCAGCGGTACGTTAATGAGAAATGGTAAGCTGGACGCCGTTGAGCTTATAATCAATGGTGGAGTTGGCTGGAAATGACTGAAGAGAACAAGGTAGTTTGGAGATGTGTTAATGAAACCCCATGATCCACTCGGAACCGCATGGAATAACAAATAATAATAATATAAAACAACTAACTTGAAACTGCATTTTGTGTTGTTGAAACCATCTGCGGAACTCGTAGATACATCACTTCATTGAATAGTCTTGGTACATGATAAACTAACTGATGTACTGTTTGAATTATCGATTGATTTCCATGATATGAGCATATAAATAATATATGCTATTAATAAGGTAAATAAGAAAATTATTCAATTGAATATTAGTCACGTACATTTATGTGAAAATAATGGGAATTGATTAAACAAGTTATCTACAGATAGTAAAATGTTGAGTGTTAGGTGGCTGGAGGCAATCGGCAGGAAGCATTCGATACCACCTAGGTTTCGTGCTAGTTGGCATTCATCGGTCAGCAAGGCGTATCTGCACCCACAATGAAGGAACCTATTTTCCTTCTCGGATTCGAACTCGTATCACCCAGTGATACCTGCAGTCAGAGACGTTAACACTGAGCTTTTCGGGCTCGTGGCTGACCTCCTGTAGGACTGTAGTGGATACTTTGATTGAACTCTAGTAACTAGTACAATGTATCTAGTCCTATCTTTGATGCAGACTGAATTCTTTCAGACAGGTTTGACGATATTAGATGCACTGGGTGACGCGGGTTCGAATCTCATAACGGGGACATGAGTTCCTTCAAGATTGTAGATACGCCTTGCTGACTGGTGAGTCCCAACTAGCACGAAACCTAGGTGGTGTCCAAGGCTTCCTGCCCACTGACTGCCTCCAACCATCGAATATCATCAAATCAATGTGCACCATGATGGCGAGCTACCTAGAATGGTGACCACATTGCAAATCTGATTGACAGAATTCAGTCTGCTCCAAAGAAAGGACTAGACACATCACATTAGTAACTAGTGTCCAGTCAAAATGTTGAGTGTATCTCACACTGATAAACAATTTCAAACGTTTGACTGAAAATGAAACAGAAATGAGGTGTGAAAGTTTGTTGAACTGAAGACTTCTGGGTCACCAGTAAGTTTTCCAACACTTGAAATAATGTAGTAAATAATAGTAATAACCTTATTGACTACCCAAAAAAGAAAATGTATGCAGACATTGTTTACAAGAGTTCAAACACACTGCAGCAGCACTCCAGTGTTGAAGACAATGGAGGAAAAATACCAAACACTAACTGTCTTCAAAATGACTGCATATGCTCACAATTTATTTAAAAAGTCTTCTTTTCGACGAAGTCATCATCTAGGCTGTACATTCGTGTATTTATATCAAATGGATGGGAAAGTTCCAGAACAATTTCTGGTTAGGAGTTGAATTAATAAAAATTACAATTAGGAATTAGAATGCCATAATAAACAGAGGGATGGGTAAAACTCAAACAAAGTAGCATAATAACTAAGAAAATTGACATTGTGCAATTGGGGGTTAGAAATGTAAAAATAACAAAATATACAGGATGTTTGGATAAGAAACTAGTGTGATGAATAATTGTTTATGCAATCAGGGATTAAATATGTAGAAATAATAAAATGACAAAATAAACAGGAAGTGTGGATATGAAAATATGGTAGTGTAGACAGGGATTAAGAAAACTTAAAATAACATGAATAAACAGGAAGTTTAGATAAGAAAGGCGATGAGATGGTCATTATTAAAAAATTTACCTGTTTACGATGGCCATGGCAGGGACAGGGGTTGAATGTATTTCTTTTGGATACAAAGGGTGGGTTTGAGTTTTTGGATAGCTAACGCCTCAGCTATGCCCAAATGTCTTGATTTCACTCCCTTTGATAGGTTTGATTGAATCTTGTATATTACTTTGAAGGACTTTTCGAAAGGCGCTGAATGTCCTGAGTTGACCAGATGTTCTGTCACTGAACTGTTTACACGTTTTTGCTCTCCTTTTACCAGCCAGGCTGGGTAGTGTTCGCGAGCGCGTTTTCCAAGTTGGCGCATGGTACGGCCGATGTACTCAGCTCCACAAGAGCAAGTGAACTGGTATATGCATGTTGAGGTGGCCCAATGCGACAGCTTGTCTTTCGCGTTCTGGTTGAACAGTTTCTTGCAGGAAAACGTCAGTCGTAGGCTTGCGGCGAAGTATGTTTTCCTCAGCGATTTGGAGAGGCGTTTGCGAAGGATTTCTGCTTCGATATCACCTTTGAATTCTAGATTAAGCAGAAGTATTTTCTTTGGGACGGATTGGACTTGTTCTGAAGTCTTCTTCGGTTTGAGATTCTTGTCTATGAACCTGGGCGGGAAACCGTTTTCCATCAGGGTTTTTCGGAGATTACGCAGTTCTTCTTCGATCACTTCCTCGCTGCATATCTTCCGAATCCTCGAGGAAAGAGCGTGTATCAGGTTCCTCTTTCTGCTTAGCGGTACGAAGCTTTGAAAGTTGATGAATTGTCCAGTCCATGTAGGCTTTTTGTATATGGACCTTTTCAAAGAGTCGTTGTCATTTCTTGTCAGATGGACGTCCAGGAAGTGGAACATTCCGTCGGATTCGGTTTCAAGTGTAAAGTCGATGTTTGGGTGGGCGTTGTTGAAGATTTGAAGTAGGTTTTCAAGGTCTAGCTTCTCATCACAAATGATGAAAGTATCATCAATGTATCTCTTGTAGAGATGAAGGTCGTCGATAGTTGATGATAACGGGTTGTTTTCGAGGCTGGCCATAAAACAGTCGGCTAGGAGTGGTCCAAGTAGAGAGCCCATTGCTACGCCATCTGTTTGCCTGTAGATTTCATTGTTGAATCTGAAGTAGACGTTGAAGGTGCAGCGTAGTAACAGCTCCTTTAGATAATGCATTGGTATGCCGACATCTATGCTGTTGCATTGGATGAAGTCACACAGAAACCATATAGTTTCTGTCAGAGGAACATTGGTGAACAGAGAGACGACGTCTAGGGAGACCATCTTTTTATTTGCGAGGTTGACATTTTTAATTGAATCAACGAAGTCAAATGTGTCGCGGAGGTTGTATCTAGACAACTTTTCTTTCACTGGTCCAAGAATTTCTACCAGCCACTTCGCGATTAGGTGATATGGAGAATTGATCATATCTAATATTGGGCGGAGTGGGACGTCCTTCTTGTGCACTTTGGGTAGTCCATACATTCGTGGCGATGTAGAACCAGATGGGCGGAGTTTTTCATATAGTTCTGTATTGATAATCGACTCATCTTTCATTTTTTTCAATAAGTTGGTTAGCTGGAGCTCCGTCTGTTCAGTTGCATCTTTTTGGGTCGTCTATTTTTGAAATTTGCTGTCATCAGATAGAATTGATGAGAGTTTCTTCACATAGTCTGACTTGTTAAGCAGAACAATTCCAGAACCTTTGTCTGGTCGAGTTATTATCAGGTTTTCATTTGATTTCAATTCTTTGAGTTGCTTTCGATGTTCTTTGGAAAGCATATTGCGAAGTCTAGGTTTTTTGTTGATGTAGTCGAGGCAGCAATTCAAAACAGTTGATTTGAAGTGTTCTGCACTTTCATATGAAATTGGGACTAGATCATTCGTCTGGCTAATCAAATTCTCGAATTGTACTTTGGTGTTCAATTCATTTACTTTTGATGATGCATCACAAAATTTTGGTCCGAGCGACAACAGTTGCATTTGAATCGGTGAAAGTGAGACATCAGAAAAATTGAATACATATTTCTCGGGACAAGATGGGAAAGCTGTTTCCTTGGTGACTGATTTTAGGCTTTGTTTAAGTTTCATGATGATATTTTCCTTTCTCTTCTCTGATACTGCTTAATCTAGAATTCAAAGGTGATATCGAAGCAGAAATCCTTCGCAAACGCCTCTCCAAATCGCTGAGGAAAACATACTTCGCCGCAAGCCTACGACTGACGTTTTCCTGCAAGAAACTGTTCAACCAGAACGCGAAAGACAAGCTGTCGCATTGGGCCACCTCAACATGCATATACCAGTTCACTTGCTCTTGTGGAGCTGAGTACATCGGCCGTACCATGCGCCAACTTGGAAAACGCGCTCGCGAACACTACCCAGCCTGGCTGGTAAAAGGAGAGTAAAAACGTGTAAACAGTTCAGTGACAGAACATCTGGTCAACTCAGGACATTCAGCGCCCTTCGAAAAGTCCTTCAAAGTAATATACAAGATTCAATCAAACCTACCAAAGGGAGTGAAATCAAGACATTTGGGCATAGCTGAGGCGTTAGCTATCCAAAAACTCAAACCCACCCTTTGTATCCAAAAGAAATACATTCAACCCCTGTCCCTGCCATGGCCATCGTAAACAGGTAAATTTTTTAATAATGACCATCCCATCGCCTTTCTTATCTAAACTTCCTGTTTATTCATGTTATTTTAAGTTTTCTTAATCCCTGTCTACACTACCATATTTTCATATCCACACTTCCTGTTTATTTTGTCATTTTATTATTTCTACATATTTAATCCCTGATTGCATAAACAATTATTCATCACACTAGTTTCTTATCCAAACATCCTGTATATTTTGTTATTTTTACATTTCTAACCCCCAATTGCACAATGTCAATTTTCTTAGTTATTATGCTACTTTGTTTGAGTTTTACCCATCCCCCTGTTTATTATGGCATTCTAATTCCTAATTGTAATTTTTATTAATTCAACTCCTAACCAGAAATTGTTCTGGAACTTTCCCATCCATTTGATATAAATACACGAATGTACAGCCTAGATGATGACTTCGTCGAAAAGAAAATTTTCTTCGCTGCAACTGTCTTTTTATTCCCTATGATCAAATGTGTATATTCCGTATTAAAAAAGTGTTTAAACTCAAGTCCTAACACCAACAACAAGCCAACGTCAAAGGCTACAAGAAATTTCATTCTACCATATATAAAAATATCTCTGAAATAACAGCTGGAATATTAAGACCGTTTGAAATAGATATAGCACACAAGCTAGCTAGCCTGCCAAAACAATCACTTCATCCATCATTTTGCAAACCAAAAGATACATCCAACAGAAAAAGAGAATAAAATTAATACCATTTACAAAATAAATTGCATGCATGAACTACAATAAACATTACATCGTTAAAAATGGGCGTCTCCTTCGAATCAGAATCCAAGAACCTTAAAAAGACATGATATGTATTCTTTTATATCAATGCATGTAAATAGTTACTGACACCAAATTGATTGGGATAATGTAGAAATTTGAAATAGAGGAAACACCGAGAATGCAGT